TATAAAATTTGAAAAATCTCCATTCTTATTTTGTGATGTGATTTTCTGTATGTGATGGAAAGTTTTTACTGATATTTTTGAATTCAGCATCATCAAATTAGCTAATATTAGTCCTTCAAGATGCAGAGCTGTGCTTTGAAAATGAAATTTGACTCATGTAAGCTCAAACGTTAATTCGTTTTCATCCTGCACTAATCATCTCTTCTTCCTGTAGTTTGCATGTTTTTTTTTCACTGTACACATTCATATCTGAACATCTGCTGTCGCTCTTCTCAGGATGCAAAGATCGATCCGGAGGAGTTCACCAGCCGGCTGCAGTCCGAGCTGAAGTCGTCTCCGCAGCCATACCTGGTCCCTTTCCTGAAGGTGCGTTAACGTGTGTGTGGCCTCCTCCTCCTCTGTGTTCCTCACGGTCAGTAGCTAGCAGGCGTGTCCAGCCAGGCACAATACATGTCACATCCCGCCCGGTCCGAACTAGCACACTAATGCGGCCGCACTGTCATGCAGTGTTAGCTCGCTTACGTAAAATCCTCCAGAAATAGACATCGGCAGCCCGCGGTGTCCTCACGGGGCCTGGGATCTCAGCGAGATGTCTTTGATTACTGAGTTTAATGATCTCTGTCCGACTGTTCAGCCTCTATGAGGAAAAAATGACAGTTCACACACTGGAAATGGAATTGAAATTACACATGTGAGATCCTTTTGTTATTGTGAATGATTCATAAGTGCAGGTTATTCTAAAGTTAAAGTTGGTTTTCTGATATTTTGGTCTCTACTAGAAGAGTGAGTATTTGTAATATTATATCGGTAGCTAAGTATATTTCATGATTAGAAATGTGCAAAAATGTGATTTCAAATGACCATTTTAACCTAGACCCAGCATACAGATTCAGTCGTTTTTGACATGATAAAACATTTTAAAACAAGACAATTTGACCTTTAACAGATGTCACCATATTTCCTCAGCTGATTAATCAGTCAGTTGTTTTGTATTACAAGTTTTTTGAAATGTTATGTTTGAATATGCACATGATGCATTGCACTTATTTGCATAAATCTCCAGAACAGAAGTCTGAACATTGGTTCCTGTTTTACTTTGTTGAAAGGTTTTTAAAAGAGGAGATTTTGGATTTCTCTTTTTATTGCTCCATAATTCAGAAAAGACAGTCAACAGCCAGAAAAAAAAATCACCATGTTTGTAAGAATAAAATGTTAAATATATATCAGGTGAATTATATTTGAACAAACCCCTCTGTAAATCCCTTCAGGATACAGATAGGAATAAAATGTAAATTTTGGCTAATGTAAGTGCATTTTGATAAAATGGCATTAAAAGATATGAACTATAATTGAAATCTGCAGACACAAATAGATAAAGTGTAATAAAATATAAACACTTAACTGTATTTTGGATGATTTCTTTCGACTAGTCTAAATGAAGACATGCTACGGAAGCAAAATAGCCCAAAATCTCAATGTTAGGGTGAATGAAAAAATGAAAAACAATAGTTCTGCCTGTAGTGTCTTACCTTAAATACATACATACTTGTTTACACACAAACACACGGGTTTCATGACCTTGTGAATGTATTTGATTTAAAAAGTGGGGACACATTTTGTGCATTTTTGTTTATGAATGTTCATGCAAGTGTTTACTTTGAGGCTAACTCTGTGTGTGTGTGTGTGTGTGTGTGTGTGTGTGTGTGTGTGTGTGTGTGTGTGTGTGTTTATAAAAGTTGTGTGTGTGTGTGTGTGTGTGTGTGTGTGTGTGTGTGTGTGTGTTTGTAGAAAAGTCTCCCTGCGTTGCGTCTGTCTCTCCTGAACAGCCAGCAGTCTCTCACTCCGCCTCTGCAGCCCAACAAAACCAGCGTGACGCCGGTCCAGACGGGTGTCAGTGTGCGGCCACACCAGCCCAACAGCACCACCGTACTGCCACAAGTATGCACTGAGCTCCCTTTTTTCTCACATATGCTTCACTTTTCTCTTTCTCATTCATATAATTCAGCAGAAACAATATATAACCATACCATAGATCCTAGATATCTGTTAAATTAAATAGCGACCCATCTGGAAAACAACAAGCATCTGATACACTTAAAAAAGCAGATTTAAATGCATTCTAAATCATAAACATGTTAGAGACGTATTGTAAAAACTCTAATAGAATGCATCGTCCAGATGAAAATGCGCACATGAAATAGATGTTTCCATGATGTAGATGTGCTTTCAGGGATCTTACTCTCATATGAATAAAAGCGTTTGATGTACTGTGACTGTAATGTTTACAACTCAAAACTCCTGCTTCAGTCACCCAGAACTTTTATTAAAACGAAATAGTCTCATTCCGAAATCATAATCACAGCCATGACCTCATTAACATATGCCCAGCCATATTTGCATATCATACTTATTCTTTAATTAGAAGCTTGCTTGAGCCATTGTTATTCATTTTACATGCAAAGAGTTAAAAAAGATGATTGATAAATATTACATTTTATTACTATGCATTGTATATTGGTGCATATAAATGAAAATTAATAAATATTTTATTTTTTGTTAATTCATTTTTTTTATTTTCACATTAAACATGTCCAATGTTCTTGTCTGTTTAATTGATATATTAAATGTTTTTGAAATTTTTTTTAATGTTTTTTTTTCTTCTGCTCACCAATTATTTTATGAAATATATACAGTAGAAACAGTGAAATAGTATTACCATTTAAAACAGCTGTTTTCTATGTGAATATCTGTTGAAATGTAATTTATTCCTGTGATCAAAGCTGAATTTTCAGCATCATTACTCCAGTCTTCAGTGTCAC